CTGCAACTGTATGGACCCCACTTCGTGAAATGTTGGCACAGAGGGCTCTTGTTGATTTGCTGGCCTGCCTTCACTTAGGGCGGGCACGAGGCTTGCTGGGGCTTTATCCCAGAACATGTACATCATGGCAAGGCCCCTACTTGAGGGCTCAATCCTCACATTCCATCCCCCTTAGCTTCGAAAGTCCGCTGAGATGCTTACTTCGCAGGTGCCTTCCCTTTTAGCTTCCGTTCATAATCTGCCACCACCTCAGGAGCTGTTTCCATCAGTTCCTCCTGGGTAAACCACCGATCTTCTTTTGGACCCGTAATGCCTGAATCTGATCCGGTACTCCCTCTTGGGTTTAGGAGGTCTTCCTCGACCCAGCGGCTTCGGAACAGGCATATCCCTGTGATCCACAATGTCGTCGATGTCGACTTGTCCATCCATGGTTGGGGGCAGCATCGATCTCCTGGAAGGGAATTGATCAGTCTCAGCGAAAGGTGCAAGCTTTGAGGCATGAAAGACTGGGTGAGTGCGTAGGTGTCCAGGGACACGAATGACATATGTAGGACCATCCATTTCATCTCCCACTACATCCAAGACTTCCCAGGGACCAAAGTACTGAGGCATTAGTTTGCGAGATATTCCGAACTCCTGTCCTAAMTCACTAGCCTTKACCYARACACGTTCCCCTACYTGAAATGTGGACTGTCTGCGATGTTGATTCTCAGAAGCAATCATGGCTTGCTGAGCCTTCTTCATATGTTCAACAGCCTCTTGCAGCAATTTCTCATATTGCACACCGTATTCAAGTGTGCCTGGAGTTGCAGCGGGTCGGTTTTCAGGTAGGAGGAAGTCTAGTGATGATCTAGGCTGGTTAGGACTAACGTCGGTACAGCTATGTATAGCGTTGTTGTACAGGCTGGCGATGAGAGGTAACTGCTCATCCCAGTCATCCTGGCTGGGCTTGATGTAATGCCTCAGCAAGTGTTGTACAACTCTATTCATTTGTTCGGCCTGTCCGTTGGCTTCGGGATGATTCCCTGAAGTCGTCTGAAGTTGACTGCCCATCTGTTCTGCAGTCTTCTTCCACAGCTCACTTGTGAATCGGACGTCTCAGTCACTAATGATGGTCTTTGGTAAACCAAAGTCCCTTACCCAGTTGTCCTTGAACAACTTGATGACGTATTCGGTCCTGGCTCTCTCTGGCATTGGTACTAGTCTAGCGTACTTGGTGAATCGGTCAATGATGACGAAAATGTGCCTCTTACCACTCTTGCTGGTCACTAGGGTGTCCATGAAATCCATGGAAACACTCAATCTTGGACCATCAGGAATAGGTAAAGGCTTCAACAACCCAAGCGGTGCTTGAGTTCGCGGCTTGTCCCGCTGACAGACCTGACAGGTCTCAACATACTTCTTTGCGTCATCTAGCATTCTGGGCCACCAAAATCGTTGTACTAAGTTAGCACTCATCTTCTTATAGCCAAAGTGCCCAGTTGCGTCATGACATTCGCCTAAAAATAAACTTTGCAACTGTTCACTAGATGGAACTACCAATCTCTTTATCCCGGCCTTATCAAGATAGATTAGCCCGTCCACCATCACAAACTCACTTTCTGTGGCCTTGTCTTTTGCCTGAAGTTTGCGGATGATGTCCATCACAAACTCAGATAGAAGAACCTTTCCCAAAAGGAAGTGTCTCCAATGGACAAGTGCCTTGTAGAGAGCATAGAGTTCCCTTTCGTAGGTGGACTTGGCCAACTTCTTCAATGGCATCTTCTTTCTCATGTACTCAATCGGTCTGAACTTTTTCCCATCCTGCTGAGCCAGCATTGCGCCAATGCCGTATTGGCTTGCGTAAGTGGTCACTATGAATGGCTTCTGTGGATCGGGAACCATGAGAACTTCATGATTCATGAGTGCATGCTTCAATCTCTTGAAAGCACCCTCGCACTCATCACTCCAGTCCCACGGTGTGTCAAGTCGAGTTAGATCAGTCAAAGGAGAGGCGACTGTAGAATAGTTCTTAACGAAGTTTCTATAGTAGCCGCACATTCCTAAGAATGACCTGACCTCAGTGACTATCTGTGGTCGTGGCCAGTCTCGAATACTAGCCACTTTCGCATCTTCCGGCCTAATTCCCTGCGCAGATACTTCATGACCCAAGTATAGTATCTTAGTGCGGCCAAATTCGCACTTCTCTAAGTTGACCTTATACTTGTGCTGTCGCAAGAGTGAGAGTACTTTTTCAACATGTTGTGCATGCTCCTCGGCAGACTTACTAAAGATCAGAATGTTGTCTATGTAGACCACGACAAACTTATCTAAATGGTCATGAAAGATCCGATTCATAGCGTGCTGGAACGTACCCGACGCATTACAAAGACCAAAGGGCATCACTACAAACTCATACAGACCATAACGCGTCTGAAAAGCTGTCTTGTGTTGGTCCTCAGGTCTTATTGCGATCTGGTGATATCCGGATTTCAAGTCTATCTTACTATAGTACTTGCATCCCTGCACCCTATCGAATAGGTCGTCTATGCGAGGTAGAGGCTCTGCCTTCTTCACAGTGATGGCATTGAGGCCTCTATAGTCAATGCACATCCTCGAAGTACCCCCCTTCTTCGGTACGAATAAAACGGGTGATCCGTAAGGGGAAGTACTAGGCCGAATCCAACCCTTCTCTATCAGCTCCTTAAGCTGTCGCCGAAGTTCATCTAACTCAGCGGGGGCCATCCTATAGATCCTTCCCTTTGGGGTCTTACTCCCTGGAATGATTTCTATAGCGTGGACGACTTCCCTTTCAACAACTCCTGTGGGCTCCTCGAACAGATGAGGGAACTTAGCAACGACGCGTTCTGTCTCTGGGGGTGTTTTAACGGCCTCCCCTTTTTCAAAGACATAAACAAGGTACATACCCTCCTCTTGGTTTTGCTTGTAGTAATTGTAGAACGCTGATGCACACAAGTAGCCATAGGTATCTACAATACTGCTGGCCTTGAACTCAGTCAATTTGACAGTTCGGCCATCTGGCAACTTATGTTTGAGCACCTTCTTATCCCAGTCAAACTGGGTCTCAGCAACTTCGAGGTAGTACATGCCTAACAACATGTCAAATGGTAAGTCGTCGCTAACCAAGAACGAGATCTTATGGTTAAGCTCTCCTCCTCCATAGGAGAAGGTACAGACTATGTCTTTGATGTAGTCCGTTACAATCATGCGCTCCTTGTTCGTCAAAGTAGATGCTACAGGTCTACTAAGGTGCCGTACCCGGTCCTGTAGGTGCAGCCTTTCCAAACAATCGCGACTTATGTAATTACGCGTGGAGCCTATGTCTATGAAGACACCACATTTGCGGCCTCCTACATCGACTTCCACCACGAAATGTTCCCCTCTAGGACCTTTCCTCAGCGCCACCCAAGACTTGCGAGAAGCCTTGTTTGACCACTCACTCTCCAAGTCCTCTAAGGCTTCAGATACATCTAACGTACAGAGCATAGTTTGGTCTAGTTGTGTCTGCGGGGTGACTAAGGGGTCATTAGCCTTGACCTTATCATGAAGTAGGGAGGGTATCAATCCTACTTCATCTTGAGTAGAAGCAGCTAATACTCCCACTGGCCTCACGTGTTTCCCGAGCTGGAAGCCTGGGAATAAGTTGCCCCCATCTTTGGAGCAACCTTTTGCGTAACCTTTGCGTTCTGGCACTTGTACTGCGTGTGTCCGTATTCCCCGCAGTTGATACAAGCGCCACGCGTTCGGCGGTCACGCCACACGTCTTGATCAAGACCTGCCTTAACCCACTCAGCCTGTTTGGTCTGATTGGAGGCGACCTTCCCTTGACCCCTTGGTTGGCCCTTCCCTCGGCCAGCCGCCTTAGTCTTGACTACTGCGGCGAAGGTGCTACCCTCAGCTACCTCCTCGCCGTCATACTCTGTATAGTCCATCAGGTCAGAGAGTTCGTCAATCTCAGTTGGAGTCCCATCAGACTCAACCATCATCAACTTTGCTCCCTTCTTCTTCCACTCTTGAGGACTCTTCTTCTTCTTTGAGTCATTCTGTGAGGTGGGTTGAGCATTGCCTAGAGTGGCCTCCAGATCTAAAGCCTTCCTAGACAATGTCTCAAATGAATGGTACTCTGTGCGTGCCTCGCTGGCCAGCAAGTTCCTGATGTTCTCTGGAAAACATCTGACAAAAGTAGTCAACAGGAACTGGTCACTGTAGTTGATCCCTGGAACGAGGATCAGGCTCTCAACGGTAGTCGTAAGCTCTCTAACCGACTTGAACTTGCGTTGGTCTAGTTTGTTTATGGCATCAGTGGCCCTTTGCGCCTCCTGTGGATTATGTCATCGAGCTACTACCATTTCCATGAACTGGTTTAACGTTAGAGACTTAGCCCAGTCCGCCATGCATCTCCCGTACCCGGCCTGTACAACTACTCCATCTAGCCACTTGGCTGCCTTACCCTCAAGGTAGGATGCAGCAGTTACCACTTCGTCCTCAGGCAAGGTCCTCTTTGCCTTCACCCAAACCGGCAAAATCCTCAACCAAGTGTTGAGTTCCTCGTCCTTTCTCTCGCCTGAAAAGGCAAGGGGCGGTTTCATCGGGGTCTTAGGATACCATTGACCTTGCTGCTATCCCTGTGGAGGAACAGGTTGTTGCGGTGATGTAGCAATCACCGCTGGACCCGAAGAAGAAGACGCAACAGTCTGTGAGACTGCTGCAGACGTACCACTTGGCTGTGTACCAGCTTGAACTGGAAAGGGGCCTGACATTGCCGATAACGGCAACGACGATTGTGTTGGTGGCCTGGATCCTGGCCTAGTCAACGCGTCCAGGATCTGGTCCAAAGTGCTCTGCATGAAGTCCAACTTGCTGCCCACGTGCGCATGCAGTGACAGCATGTTCTTCCTCAACACTTTCATGGGCTCATTCATTCCTGAATCATCTAAGCCCTCCAACTCAGCTTTGTCAGCCTCTAGAGTTTCAAGTCTGGCTACCCTACTCTTCATCGCATTTTCTCTATCGGTAGCATCTTTCAGGTCCTGCTCTAACTTACGGCGGAGCCTCTCGACCTGCTGGATCTCTCTGAGCTCCCTCTCACGCGGGGTCAACGAGCTGAACTTCGCGCCCGCCATTTGACTAGAAGACTGTCTAGAACCTGTGGAACCGGAACTGCCCGAGGAACTTGTGGAACTCGTTGGGATTCCCAACTGGCCCCCATTAGTCCCTGACGAGGACGCAGACGATGACGCAGCAGAGCTTGCGCCGTTAGCCATCGCTGCTGCTCTGGCTGCTGTTGCCTGCTCTCTTGTTGCTCTGTTTGCTTCCTGTAGTCCTGCTGCTAGAGCACGGGCTCTACGTATCCGTCTTTCTTCTCTTGGCTTAGTGCCTGTGCACGTGTTAGTCTCCTACCGTCAGCTCTATCATCAATAGGGTCTGACCCACTCATTAGTTAGATAGATAGTGTCTACACTAGAATCCCCTAATGGAATCCTACCGCAGCATGTATTTGACCGGCACGTAATTTTCTATAAATAGTTGTGTACGGCGAGTTCCCTACCATACCGAATCAAGTGGCATGTCTACAACATTCACACACATTGTCTACATAGATGCACCCTGATTGGTTCACTTACAGCAGCATTAGTTAGAACTGGCTATGGTAACATACAACAGTCCTACACTAATCTGTCTGTGAGGTTAGCAGTCCGTCAACCAACTAATCAAAGGTACAAAAAAAAAAGTAGCAGATGTATGTTTGATGGGTATGGTTGTGTATACAGTTGAGCACCAATTGGAACCTACCCTTCCCCTCAATCCAACATACCGAACAACATCTTTGAGCGCGCAGTGTCTTCGTGTGTGTATCGGCCCACCCCTGTGCCCAAGTCAAAGCCGAGCAAGCCAACCAGTCCACTCTTATTTACCCTCGTACGGAAACGAGTCTTACTGTCCATGTGATCTGGCTGATCAGGAGGAATTTATAGAGCGCCCCCATCTCTGCAAGAATTATTTAACGTCGCAGTCAGGACGACGATCACAGCCAAATTCACAATGAACTCCCAACCAAAAATGTTTATAGACGGTCTGGTAAGCATCTCTAAAAGGTTGGCACACCTGGCAAGACTTCTAATTGGCGCAGCAAGTGCCTTAATGGACAGCAGCCATCGCATGCGTGACCTTCTCCCATTGGGTTGGCATGGTGACCGTGACCCAGTGCTTCGACCAGGGCCCTTCAGAGGCACCGCCCTTTCTCCTTCCAGATGCTTCCGGGAAGATTGTCGTCTCTCAAGGTAGCGCGCTCACGACACCTCACCAAAAGAGAGGACTCTCAAGTTGGACTCACTTCCTCACGGTAAGAAGAGATTGAGAGAGTAGATAAGGTAAGGGAACAACGTACCTGGAGATAGCTGCCCCCAACCACARATTTCTCACCAATTGAGCTGAATGTGCATTTGATGACCGGTCTTGACCTCGGTACCACCCACAACGCAATGCAGTGCCACCTCAGCCGAATGCAACATCATCATGCTCTCATCACCAATCATACATTCCGCATGTATCCACGGCATACACTGTCGTCTTAGCCTTCCGGTGCACCCCTCTCTACCCAGGGCGTGCACCTATAGTGGCCTTTCGTCACAAGTACCCACTGCGAAGAAGCATCGTCAACGCACCAAGTCCGTATAACGCCAGCGTGCCAAAGGTAAGTGGCGATCAAACCAGCTCCGATACCAAATTGCAGGGAACATGAATATGGACGAAGCACAGAAATCCAGAATGCTAAATCACACTGAAGTCCAAGTAGTCAAAGCCAAAGCAGATAGTACAATGGAATCGAATAACCATCCAATTGAGAATGATACAGAAGAATCGTGAGTCAATGTCCATGCCTAACAGGGCAACACCAACAACATAACCCAAATGTAGCTCTCTCTTGTGAATGGCGCCAGGCGCCCTATCTACTCTACAGCCTATCCTACAACTACAGCAATGAAAGCAACCAGACAACTTGACTACCAGCGAGTGATGATGTC